AAGCAGCTAAAGGTTTTGGCTACTATTAAGCAAATGTCCAGTAATTGAGCCTGAGCATATGAAAAAATCACCGTTAAATGTGGATGTAGAGCCCTCATCTGGTTTCCAGACACCAAACAAGTCATCTTGTATCTTTATTATTAGTAAGTGATTACGTCTTTTACACTCGCAGCGGTTGAGCCCACCATTGATTTTGGTTGTACTTATCCAGCGGCATGTTTCGCCAGTCTTCATTTTGTCTTTTGGGGTAACTGATTCGTTCGGATTGAGGGATATCTAACAGTGAGTCGTCGTAGGAGGTTACGGCAGGCTTTTCTTTATTTATTCGAGTGCTGCACTCAGTTTCGGACTGGGATCGTCCAGCAAGTCGGAGTCGCTCCACAGGCGTGGCTGGAGTAATTACGATGGCAGGACGCGATTTCGGTAGTAACTCTTCTATGGAAGGCAAGGATTTTGTGGATGCCTGAAAGTAATTTAACTTAGGTTTAGCTTTAGCTCTAACTCTTTCTGATGCAAAGAATGTTTAATAAAAAATTTACTTCCTTCACTTGAGTCAAAACAGGACTTCGCTTTTTTGCGGTCCTCGTTGATCTCCGGGAAACATTTCCGCGAATTTTCGCTTCCAGGCGTGAACGCAAGGTTGAGACCGAGTGATAACCGCAGCGAACAGATTTCCTAAAAAACGCTTCCAAATCTATTTTAGGCATTGTTTCTAATCAAACTTACGCAGATTCAGTCTTGCTTCCATCCTCATCAGTCAGCTCCGTGAACAAACCGCTGTTTGAAGAGTCTGAAACGCATTTTCTAGCTTGTTGCGCCGATTTTTTCGTCTCTCTATGAAGCCATTGGTAAGAAGAGTCGCACACACTAGGATCAAAAGTTTCCCATTGGGAATTGTCATCAGTAGTAATGACAATACGAGAAGGCTTCTTTTTTGAATGAGAACTGTTTCGACGTGGAGCTTCAATAACTGTGATTGGTTCACTTTCTTCTGGCATATCGACCGTCACTTCGCTGTTAGTTTTATTCGGTTCAGATGGACCCTCGGCAGTCACACAAGTGGTGACACTTGTTTTAGATCCTTTAGCAGTTGGAGATTTTGATGTGGTAATCTCTGGAAAAATCTTTTTGCACAGGAAAAATTATGTTTTGCAAAAATTGTTCAATAAAACTGACTCTCATCCTGTGGGCCATTTTGCGGCGCAGCTTCATTCATCTGCGCATTTTCCAGTTTCTGTATACTCAGAGTAGGTGCTCGATTAACTCCAATAAAATGTAGTTTACTTCGAAGTATACCATCGTGAGCATTAGTTACGGCATTTCTCCATCGAGGTATCTCGTTGTTAAACATTATCATTGATACCGAGCCATATTTGAACTTCAGTTTGAGTGCGCAACGGCGCTGAAAAAAA